AACAACAGATCTTGCTGCATATTTTTCCCCAAAGGTATATGTGGAAGGCTATTAGACATAACTAATCCCCACAGACTTGCACTTTAAAAATACTGACACTCATGGCAGCTTGAACTTAGCACTGTGATTTTTGCTCAACATGGTGCAACATTCCCTCCCTCTCCTAGGGAAGCTGGAGCCTCAGTGACTCAAATTCTGGCTCCTATGACTAACAAATTAAGTCCCTGTATATAAAGCAGAAGATGACATGTCTGCTTTTAATTGTAGATCAGGCTTGGGGCTTCAGGAATTACTATGATTCCCAGAAACCCAAGATGGAGAATCACTGTTTTCAATCAGTAGCAGGGTTGGAAGGGGATCTCAAAGATCATCTGGTCCAGCCTTTCTTGACAAAAGCACAGTCTAGACAAGATGGCCCAGCACCCTGTCCAACTGCATCTTACAAGTCCAACACTGGGGAATCTTACCACTTTTCCTGAGATTTTTCACACTGAAACCATCAGCTATTGGAATAGTTTTCCTCATTTCCAATTGGAGGCTCCCCAGGAGTAACTTGCACCCATTACCCCTCCTCTTTTCCATGTGACTCCTTGTAAAAAGAGAATCTCCATCTTCTTTGTAGCCACCCCTGGAACATAGTGTTAAGATCTCCCTTAAGCTTTCTTATCTCAAGGCTGAACTAACACAGTTTTCTCAGCCTTTGCTCATAATAATACAAAGGAATCAATGATTTCTCCTTTATGGATATATAGAGAGGATTCCTACTACCATACTTGAGGATAGCTAGGGTTGATGAGCTTAGGAAGGAATAAAGTTCTCAAGCCCTGGCATATTCACTTTAAAATTTTCCTTTATTCTCATGATGGTATTATTCCTGTGTATATATGGAGCAAGAAAGAAGGAAATACTGTTCAAGGAATCATAATAACAATTTAGTCTTGTCAAGAGTTCCAACACAAAACATGTTTAATATTCAAGGTGTCTCATGATCATTCTTCTTTCTTAACAGGTGATAATGGAAGGGGAAGTGGGGTACAGGAGGGTTTGAATTTACAGGAAAACCTGAAGTCAAGTTGAAAGCCAGAAAAGGCCAGATCAGTCAAGTGTCCATATCCTGTTTGCTTGCCTTGCCTGGGCTGTGTGTGCATCAAGGAGCAAAGACTGAACTGTTTGTTCATCCAGGAGCAGTGCACCCACACTGCTACTTTTTCTTGTGGGAAATTCTGCTTGGGCTATAGCATGTATCACTAAAAAACAATGATCCTTTGTACAGAAGAGATCCTTTGTACACAGAAAATGGGAGCTGCTTTAAGGAACTGAGCCTTTTTACGGAATAGAGACAAATATTTTGTTCTGCATATGCAGCTAATCACCCCTCCCAGCAGACATGCCTAGAGGTTTTGCTTCTAGTCATCTTGTTTCTGTTGTGAAAAGATCACGGTATTGTTCATCATGCCACTCTCCCCTCCCTTTTCCTGAGGCTAGCAACATATCTAAACCACAATAATGATCTTGTCCCAGAGCAGAGTAGGTGCTCACTTAAGCATGGATAGGGGTTAGAAGTAGTGCAGAGAACTGTCAACAGGAGAAAAAAAAAATCTGCCTTCATTCTTGGCTCAATAGGAAACTTTTCCCACACCTTTGTTCTGACTAAAGTCTTGTATACCACTTCAGGCTTCATTGTGAAATGGAAGATTTGCTACAGAAGAGAACTGTGTGCTGAGTTGCAGGTTACTGTGCTAAAGGCACATGATTTAGCCACACCTATTTATCAGATTTTTCCTAGGATCTTACAAAAGCAACGTTGGCAGACCCACAAGTGGCTCCTGTGCCTTGCAGTGTGAGCTAAAACAGCAGAGCTTGCTTTGCCATAAGTCTTTTGAGACTTTCAAATTACAGAGTACACTTTCCAGAAGCTGTGTCAGACTACTTAGACAAGATTGCAGTTGGGAAGTGACTTTTCTCCTGCTTGTCCAGCAGGATTAGTATGGTAGCCTGCAGTCTACAGCACTGATGTTTATTGGTTGTTGAACTTCATCCTTAAATAAGGAATGAACAGCTTTAAGCTCTCCTGTGACATGCCTCTTCATGTGATACGGGGAGTAAAAGTCAAGGAGGCAGAGGTGAATCACTGACCTCATAGTCTGGTAGTGGCCACTTACCTAGAGCAGATACATTTTGCAACACTTGTAAACTTTCATGTGTGTGTTATGTGCTCACCAGCTACATTTAAAGACATCACCACAAGAATTCTGAGACACACAACTGAAAGTCTTAACTAGTTTTCAACTGACCTCTAGTGCCAGGTGGGAAGTCTTGCCAGGGATCTGAAAGCACAGAGATCTGCAGCCAGAAAGATGTGCCCATTTCACACATGTTAATTGGCCACTGATGGGGAGCAGACAGGTTCAACAGCCAAACAAGAATGCCAGAGGCAAGACTTGTTTTGAAAGAGGGATATACCCACGCCTGTCCTGTGGGAAAACTAATGCCTAGTACAATTAGATTCCAGGACACACAACTTATTCCACTTATGCAACTTCAAATAATTGGGGGCAGGGAGTGTTAAAAGCTATGCAAGGAAGTTTACTCTGAAAACTGCAAGTTACTCTGAAAGCCCTAAAGGGGATTCAGGGCTCTGCCCAATTTAACTGCAGCTAAAATGGCAGTTGAACTCCTGGCCGATTTCACATAAAGGAGATGTTTGCCAAACTGAGATGCTTTAGTTACACAGAAAGGAACAAACCCTAACAGGCAAGTAGAAACAAAGTTAACTCATTCCATCTGAATAGATTTAGAAAAAATTATAATTGGGTTAACTGTCAGGGTTCTTACTGCTCTTTAGGTTTAATTTGTTCTTCATCACTTAGTCAAGGCTCCCTCCAACTTTTAGATAAAATGTTTCAAAAATTATACTAACCTGTTTCTGCCATATCTATTTTAATTGTATTAATGAAGACTATTTATTTCCTTAAAAAACAATAATTAATGATGTATGTAAATTTTAAAAAAAATCTTAGTGTTTCTTAGTTCTGTGCCATGGCATTGGAGTAAACCCCACATTTAAGTGTGACTGGATGAAACCAGTTGTACATTTAGAATATATCAAACACAAATCAAGGAGCCCAGCTGTTCTTAATTACTTTCACCAGTAGTTCAGAAGTGCCTCCAACTCTGTGTTTTAGGGATGAAACTATGCTGCCTTGTAGGTTAACTTTCAGATGATCTGCTTTTGGCAAAATCCTGACTATTGAAGTTGGATGCCAAGGCCTCTGGCATATTACACAGAAATTATATGCCTAAAAATGGTATTTACCAATGCTTGCAAGAATTGGACCATCATTTAGATCCAAATTTAAGTCTTACTGGCTCAGATTAACCTAATCCAGTAAGTGTTCTCCAATAGGTAGCCACTGGCAGATGTTTCAGAAAGATTATGGCAAGCATAGATATCTCCCTCAGAATTCCCCACTATTCTGCACCTCTTGAAGTGAAAAACAGTGTGTTTATAATGGGAGTTCGAAGAGATTAGCATAGTCAGAACACCTTAAAGTGGCAACTTCAGTCTTGATTAAAAGCAGGAATTTACACTTGCACTACCCAGTGGGGGGACAGAAAGGAGCATCAGTGATTCCACAACATAGGTAACTAAGTAGTATAAAGTTTTGACTCTGAACTCTGGTTATCTTAAGTATTCATGTAGGATAGCTGAATTTCTTAACTTTAGCTCTTAGGCATAAAAATTTTGGAGACGCTTTCCATCCTTCATCCACCTATGATAATTCCTCAACAGAGATAATTAATCTCACCCTTTTCTTCTTAAATTAAGTGGCTTAAAAAGAAACCGGTTTGCAACTTGTTAAGCCTATACAAGTATTTCAACCAAAGCCAGTTTTCCTGAGGAAAGGCAGCAATTCTTTATAGTTCATCTATACCACCACTCAATAAAACAGGTCTTGAATCTGCTTTAAAAATACCAAATTTCTCTAAAGCTTAAGTCTTTCAGCATAAGGGGACCAATCAAAAATTCACCCAGTATTACTTTAATCTTTGCTTTTTAATTACATGTAAAAATACCGGACAATGTATATTTTGACATTACACTCTACCCTGAGCAATATGCTGGCTATCTCTCATGTTTCTGGCACAATGAAGTCACTTTGGAAGTGGTTGGCATACTTTCATTCCATTTCTATTGCTTAGCCACAGGCAAGGGCCCATAAACAAAACACACATTAAGAACAGGACCACAATCGAACAGAGATTAAGATGTACCAACACATTCTTTTCAAGCACTCACCTTCTTCAAAAAAAACAAACAAAAAAAACCAGACCACAAAAAACCAAACCAAACAAACAAAAAAACCCCAAACCACAAAAAAAACCAACAATAAACAAAAAACAAACAAACAAAAAAAACCCAACCAAACAAAACCCCCCCAAAAAATCCTCACAAAAAACAAACACCCTAAAAAACCCACACCAAAATGCAAGAGTTGAAGGCATCTAAAATTAAGTTACTTGCAGCAGACCGGTGGCTACAAATTCCACCTTCTTCAGATTCCATCTTTCAGGTTAGTGAAGAACATACCACAGAATGACCACTTGAGATTTAGGGGTGATTTGTAGCCACCTTTAACTGCTTAAAGCCATCATCAATGCATTCGATGGTAGAAGGCAAATCTACTGTGCTGAGGTCTGGAGAGATTCTTCGGTTTTCAGCAAGGCTATCCATTCTCTGTTCCCAATTAAAAACTTCTTAAGCAGGGAATTTGATATCACCACTTCTCACCACATTTTAATATGTAAGAAAGACAAGTATTTATGAAGGGTACTGTAGGTTTATGAGGAAAAAACCAAACAAGATTATTTAACAACACCTTTCTGCATAACATAAATTACTAATATGCTCAATAGGTAAAATTGTCAGTGGTTGTAGCAAGCCTTGTTTGCCAGAACAATATCAGTTTCAATCTATTCCATTTTCCATACAAGCCAGATTTCCAAATGAGTGTAAATATTTATGGCATTTAAAACCATGGTAACATGGTAATCATTTTTCTTTGAAGATGAGAAAAACCTCAAACTGTAACAATTTTTCCAATGTGAAAACCCAAATCAGTTATTTTAAGTCTCCTAAATGCCACCTGCTCACACTATATGCCAACATAAGCAGCTCAGGCAGTAAGGGGGACCACAGAGTTGGCAATACCCTTGAATTCCCCACTTCTTTTTTTTTTCCAACAAAGAAGTCACAGAAGCCATCTCGAGGATACTGGTTTCATTCTGATAGATTGCTCCTTTAAGGTACTTTAAGTAGAAAAGCTAAAACTTTAAAGCAATGCTTCAAATGACATATTACATATTTAAACAAAAGCAGACTTAACATTTCTGTGCAAATTTAGCTCTTCCAACCGTAAGTTTGGAAACATTTTCAACAGAAGGTTTAAGTTAACAAATTATGTTAGTTCAGAATTAACAGGTAAGTACAGCCTTTTAAAACTACAGTCATCTAAACAGCATGTTGAGGGCAGTATACTACATGGGGAACTTTTAAAATATTATGAGTCAGACATATTTTATATCGATTTAACACCTACCAAAGTAAATCCTGTAACAAAGTGATTTTGCATTATGCATATAACACTGATCCTTAGGCAAACAGAGACACATTAAACCAACAATTCTGAGGACTGTGAGGAATGTTATAGCTGGTAGGAGTCTGCTACAAAGTCCTTAAGGATGCATTGCTATGTTGCTGTACATCTTAATTCAGGACACAGGTGAACAGCTTTAGCAAGAGACCTTTATACCAGCCACTTTAAAGCAAGCAGACATCTCAAAGTTTTTTGGTTGCCAGAAGTTTACTCTTGCTTCACTTCACCCTTTAATTGCCTTTTCATGCGTGAATACGGGCTGATTGTGTCATCCATCACGAAGTCATATAGTACTTTTATCCAAGAGTTATATTGTGGCAGGTTGTCATAGTATTCAGCCGCTATTTTCTTCACCTGAAGAAGAGAGATGAAGTTTATTTACCAGTTATATTAGCACAAATTGTGACAACTTTGCAAATTGTAACCTCAATGTGTAACCTAATGCACAGCACTTTCATTTCAGATGTTAGATCATACAGGAAGGGCCACAAGTGCCACAGTGTGAACGTTTCTTGAAGGAAAAAGCAATTCCCCGGTTGTTACGTAAACTTCATGTGCAGCTTTTGAAGATATCCAGAACAAACTCCTCTGACACTCCAAAGTCTGCTCACTGTGCTACTCACAGGATGATAAAGCTCTCAAAAGCAAGTGGTTTTGTTGCTATTGAAAGGGGATGACTCACTTCAGTGCTGACTCATAGGTATATGAGTACCAGTAAAAAAGGATGTTATCAGTTCTAGGAAGAGGTGTTTAACACAGCTATTCTTACATATAGTTTCAAACCTCAGCATTCAGAAGAAAAAAAAACACTCTATTTCAGAGGAACCTTTATGGAGACAGACTTTAAAGAATGAATATAAACTGCTTCCAAAGACTGTTCTCAGCTGTACATGCTGACTTAACCACTATTTTAAACTGAGAGCAGCAGGTTCAGTTAGGTGTCCTTACTGATATTTAAGGCCAAGCACCTGAAGCCTTAAAAACCTGAACAGAACAAAAAAAGGATTTCCCACAAAATTCCATAGCTTTAGTCAGAACAATAATATTAATCTGTGTAAGCAACAAACAGGCCCAAGGTATTTACATGCCTAGTTTGAAGCCAAAGATCCTTTGGATCCATCATCACACCTATAGAATAGTGTATCTATACTTTTATTCAACAGTAACACTCCTCAGCTCACTAGTGCTGAGGAATCAAGTGTTCAGGACTTCAGGGATTTTAGCACACAGCATAGCAGAGTCCAGTCCAATCAGATTCACTACACTGTTCTAAAAGAAGGCTTTGTTTTCTTATCAGAGCTGTGGATTACAAGTCCTGCAGCAGAACTGGGTATTTACCCCTGGAATTAAGTGGAATTCTGGTTCACCAGCACAGACCTAAGTTGACTTAAAGCAACTTTTGCTGTGTTTTAAAGATGAAATCTATGAATAAGAGCAATCATCTGTCATTAAAAACAAGAAACACACAAAACCTCAAACCAATTACATGATCTACCTGCCCTACTAAAAGTGCTGGCATACTTCTTTCACCTACAGTTCCACCACTGACAACAGATAAAAAGTTTAGACTGCACCAAAAGAGCAAGCTCATAAGGTCTTACTATGGCCAAGTGCAATAACAAAGCTACAAGACCAACACCACAGCTGCTGTCCAATTGCAAATTTAATGTCCCCTGAAGCTTGTGCTCCAATTGGGAAACACACACACAATGAGAACAAAACTCCTGCCTTTAAGAAACAAAGACTGAAGTGAGAAGAAACTTCACGTCTGCTACTCATGCAGACATGACAGGTCTAATTCATGGCACAGAAGCCTTAATTCTGTCAGTGATACTTCTTATTCTGTCAGCTGATACTTATTTAGGGTTCAAAGGCTCTTAGCAGAGGGAACTGAGGTGCTCCAGACTGGAAAGTTATTAAACATTTGTCAACAGTACAACAAACATTAACATAATCTCAAACCCTCTCCTTTCCCCCAGCAGAGAATGTCACTGATAGGAGAAACTGAAGGATAACTACACCTTACAACACTGTCCTTAAGACTGCAGAGACAACAAATATCCAAAGTTATTTGCAACTTCTTAACTAGCTTTCTGCATACTTACAAACTGAAGAAATCAGAAGACAGGTTGTAATTACAGGAAGCTAAAGTTAGTGCAAAGCATAAGACATGCTTTTCCTCCCCTCTCCTTTTATGGAAGAGGCAGTCAGCATGCTGGAAGCTTATTGAAGATACCACTAAAATGCTAAGTAATTACCTCCTTTATCACTCATGTTGTGGTTTTTGTTTGGTTATTTGTTGTTTTGTTTGGTTTTTTTTATCTCCCAACTTCCATTCTTCTGTCAGTGTTCTACCTAATTTTTAAATTAAAGTAGAGCTTAATTTAAGAAAAACCTTGGAAGTAAACTTACCAATGGAAGGCTCTTGCCAGGAATATTGGGGAAGTCATGATGTTCGTTGTGATAGCCAACATTAAAAGTGAGCAAATTAAGTGGCCCATAGTAGGAATAGGTCTCATGTCCTTTTAAAAACATGTAATGCTCAGCTATGAAGTGTCCTGAAATTGGGTGCAACCCAAGTCCAAGTACTGAACCAGCAAGCATGTAAAAAATGGATTTGACTCCCCATAAATAATAGATCACGACATCAAAGGAAAGCTGAGCCAACAAATTGATTACTTCAAGTCGAGTAATGGGTTTGGGATTGATGCAGAGTGGTCTAATTGCATAGAAAAAAGGCTGTAGAACAATCCACATGAACTTCCTAAATGGGGTGCAGAAAAACCAGCCTTCGAAGTTGGTAGGAATGTCCACATCAATTCCATCACCTCCCAAGTAACGATGATGATCCATGTGGTATCTCTTGAAGGATATGGAGTATGGGAGACCAAGAGGGAGGTTGGCAAATATTCCAAACCATCGATTCCACATGGCTTTGCTGTTGCCAAAGGCACTATTGTGAGAGATCTCATGAATAGCCAGAGTCATGGAGTGGCTAATACAGCTTCCAAACACGTATGCCCAGAAGACTACCCATTTCCAATCCAAGTCTTTAACTAGATAAAATGCAGTCAACTGCGCCAGAACCATCAGCACAACCACCCAGATCAGGTTGTAGTCTGGTTTCATCAATGCTTTTATCTCTGGATGTTTAGCTAGATGAGAAAGAAAAAGGAGTTACTTCGAAGCTCTCCTCACAGCCAACTACCCCAACTAGATTACAACAGCAGATAGAGCCTTTCCTTCCCTTCTTCCCAATTAGGATTTGTCTGCAAAGGTAATGAAAACGCGTGACCTTCCCACTTGTGATATTTGCTGCTATAATGAATCACTTGGAATCAAGTCATTTTAACACTTTCACGTTGCTCAGCAACTAGACACGTACACGGCAAGCACCAGTGTCACCTCCAGCCTCCCCAGGAAGGAAATGGCTCTGAACCGAATAACCCACCCGCGATTCAGAAGGGCTGCAATGAGCTCAGCCCCGCACTAAGCGCGGCACTCCAGGACGCCGTTATCCCCCCTCGTGGGCGCGGGGTGTCCCCTCCGTGCTGACACCGCCTGGCCGCTCGCAGGGCTCGCGCGGGGCGGCCCTCGGGAGACAACACCCCGGCCGCCGCCTCCCCCTCCTCCTTCCCCCGCTCCTTCCCTTCCTTCCCCCTCCCCCGCAAGCGCCCGCCAAGGCGGCTAGCCTCCGCCTCCCACGTACAGGCGGGCACCGGCCAAACGGCTCCGGCCGCTCCGTTCTTACCCGGCCAGGAGCCCCCCGCCGGGCCACCCGCCGCCCCCCGGCGGCGGGCGGCCATTTTGTGGGGTGCCCGTGTGTGCGCCCCCCCTCCGCTCCCGCCCACGTAGCCGGCGCAAAGACCCGGGGCAAGACGCGGCGGCAACCGCGGCCCCTCACCCAAGATCTCCTTGCGCGGTCGAGGCGTGGGGTTGGTACCCGTGTGAGACCCACTCGAAATCCTCTTCTGGCCACGGTGTTCCACCATCGGCGGCAGCGATGCACGCCCGCTCACACCCGCCGTCACGCCCGCTCCGCGACGCCCTCGCCGGGCACCGCACTTTATATGAGCGCCGACGGAGGGTGGCTCGCGACCACGCCCCGCCCCGCCCTCGCCACCCCATTGGCGCGCCGCCGCGCTGCAGGCGCGCTCCCGCCCCGGGAGGCGCCCCTGCTGGCGCCCTGAGGGGCCGGGGGGGGCTCCCTCAGCCCGCGGGAGCGACCCCTCACAGCGGCACCGCCGGGAAGGGAACGAGGCGGTGAGGAACAGCCGTCATCTGTCCAAAATCTGTACTGCTGTCGTGGTTTAACCCCGTGCTTAAAGATCCCCGCCTAAAGGTATTTAACTACTCCTCAAAACGCCTGCGCCAAGGTCTCTTTCTGTGGTAAGATATTCTAAGAACTTCACTGACAAACTCTTCTGTAAGAACTGACCTTCATTTAATTTGTCCCTGCATATATTTCTTATATAATGTTGACTTCGGGAAGTTTAGTTTACAAAGATTATTTAATATAGAAGTTGCATGACTACTTGCTTGGGATTTCACCCAAAATAATCTAAATCAGTAGACTGAAAATCCACTCAAAATACTCTACATGAGTAGTAATGACAAAAACAGCAGAGAAAGTTATCACAAATTAAATTACACCTTATCTGTTAATGTACTATTAGTATCTCAAGGTTTATGTTGCATCACTTAAAATTTATTTGTAATAATTAATAAAAAGGGCTAATGCGTACTGGCTGCTAAAAGCCCCATGTGCAAGTGGGCTCATGAAGGGGAAATACAATCCCTACTTGACAATATTTGCAATCTAAATAATGTACAAAGCACAGGATCCAAGAAACATAACACCTTTGTGAGTAGTTTTGTTTGCACGCATTTTTAACCTGTGCATATTAGGATGGGAATTAGAAGGGAAAAACGGAGCAAGTGGATGAGACGTGGAAAAGTTCGTGCGCAGCTTTTCCCTCCTTAGCCACAGGATCTGAATTCTGCAGACTCCGTGAGGACTGGTGCAGCACAGGAGGCAAACCAGATGTTTAGATCTCATCCAGGCACTGTGACCTTGCAAGGTTTACTTCTCGGTCAGTGACCGTTTCACAATAAACCAGGAAGAGCCTTTGAGCTGCCCGTGCAGAACTGCCAGGGTCACCCGTGTTCCACTCAGCTGCACTCCAAACACTGTGAGTAACATTTCTGAAAGTGTTCCCTTCTTGTAGTTCAAATATTAGCACTGCTATCCATCACTGCGCTAAAGACCTTCTCACCCTCGGGAAGGATCCTGCCAAGAGGAGGAATGTGTCAGCTGATGAGAGAGGTTGCAGCTCGGCCAACAGGAGCATTGGGGGAGGCAGGTTTACAGCGCTGCAAATGCATATAGGTTTGTAAATGGTCACAGATTTCAGTAGGGCCACTAAACAGAAGAGCCCGGATTTATAAACTAAACATTCCAGAACAGCTAATCAAGGCTTAAAAGACTAAGAAAAATATTAAACAGGAAAGTTTTGGAAAATTTAATTGCCGAAGTGTACCGGAGAGCAAAGTGTCTTTCCTATTTACTCACTGGGTCTTTCTGCTTTAAACAGTCTGTGTAACAAATCCAGATTTATTAGGTCTTCAGCAAGTTAACAGTTTTTCTATCTGACATTTTCCTTTCCAAAGACAAAGACATCCAGTATCTAGTGTGCCTTCAGCTGGCACAAAGCTAGAACAAAAATCCTAGAATGTTCAGTTACATGTAAACCAAAGGCAGCAGTGCATCCCTGCCCAATGAGGAAGGTGAGATCCAGGAAGGACAACTGCAAGAGCAGAGAGCACATGGAGAAGCAAGCTGGTCCAGGTATGGTGCAATGCAGCACAGTAATGCAACTGGAGAGTATCAGAACAGTTGACACCTAGCAGACATGTTGCTATAAAATAGTCCAAACCGAATTAACTTATGAATGAAATAACAATCTACCACTGTAATTTGCCAGTTACCTTCTTAATACCACCAGGAACACCAAGAAATCAGGCAGCTGTCTCCTGTCTCACGACACATTCGACTATATCCTACGTCATCCTGTTTCCAAGAAGCTCTTAATGCTGAAAATTCTTTAGGCAATCTTAGTGCTCCCCCTTAGATCTCAGTGAAAGCAACTAAGTTTCTGTTCAGTTCTGTCTTACCTTTTACGTTAAGAAATTATTCACAGGCATCCTTGTAACATTAATGAACTTCAGTGATTAATGTGCGATGCTGGGCAAATATCAGGAATTGAAGAAGTTCCATTTGTTTCTACCTGTTCTTTATTCTGTGAAATTTATCTTGTTAAGCAGGTAGTCTTTCCTCCTTCCACCTATGACATCCATTAGCCCTTGCTTGGAAGGTGCTTGCATACTCCTTTTACATACAAGCTGTTCCATTTGGGAAGCAAGACCTGGTTGCAAACAGCTTTTCCCTCAAAAAAGCATTTCTGATCCCATTTTTGCCATGTTCACTAGATACATAAATTTGTAAAAAAGAGTCTCCAACCCTACTATGACAAAGAAAGTTTTCAAGGCAAGCTGCTATTTTTAGAAAAGCAGGAAAACCGGCCTTAGTAGTTTTAAGTTATTTTAAGAAACTAACTATAAAAGACACAATTGCTTTCCCTGTCAACCCCCTGAGCTGTTCAGTTTCAGCCCTTGATACAAGTACTAAAAGCTGAACAGTGGCTGCAAATAAAACAATTTTTCATGTAATTTTGTAAACTACACCTGCCTTTCACAGATCATACAGTCACTAACCACTACAGACATTACACTTCTCCAGGCCGATGCACCCACTCATGTAAAGGCACACAGACATTTAGAATGAAAAGTGATTTAGTTTTTACTCCAGACAATTTATGAGCATGTTGCAAATGCATACTTTCTATTTAATAAGGGACAATACGGTGTCAGAAATTAACGCTGCAGCTATTTTCTCCAAACTACTACTTCATCCTGTTTTCTCCATTCTGTCTGTGCCAGCGGTGTGTATTCCAGAGGGAGAGCCATATGATGCCTCCCTCCCTGGGAAGTGAAACACAAAACATTGGTGTGCCTTTGCCATGGCATTTCCAGAGCTGCCTTGTAACCACCTGTGACGTATCTGTTACATTTCGTGGGCCTTGTTCCATTTTCCTGTGCTCATCAGCACGTGGATAATCAGGATGCACCTGCAAACTCGGAGCACGTGACACTTCCTTGAGTTGAAGGTTCCAAGTAGGCACTTGGCACATTCACAGAGAACATTTCATGTACCAATAAGCTGTTGCTGTTTCCAGCTCAGTTTACACAGAGCTAGAGATTCCCTGACACATAAATAAATGTTACTCCTGAGTAACCTGAAACTATTTGTATATTGTGAAGGGGGTGGAGGGAAATTGTTTGCATATTCTAGAAATTAATAAAGAAACTAAGGTGAAAGATATTCAGAGATGTATGAATAAACCTTTTCAGTAAATGCAATTCACAGGTTTATACTTGTTTGGAAGTATTTCACCACAAATAGCTGGTAAATAGTCCATTACAGGAATTTTTCATCATGAATAACCATTAAATGAATTTGTATCACACAGTAATTATAGCTGTCATGCTGACCCTTTGATTCAAAATTATTTTTTAAAGTATATGCCAGTATTTTTAACCTGAAGAGCAGGTAACTATCTTAAAGAGATTCTTAATGGTAAAAAAAAATTCTGAGCTGTAGAAAACCAGTACCAGCCAATGCTCCTTTAATAGTTTAAGTCTTCCCTCAGATAACCTTTTATAATTTCCTTGATGCTTAAGAAAAAATGCCTTTTTTTAAAAAGGCTCAAACTATTCAAGAAGTTTATTTGAATACTAAATGTCTGCGAAACATTAAGCATTTGCAACGCTACTCCTGCTATGAGCCAGTATGTTTTAGAAGTAAAAACTGTAGCTGAAAATTCAGGAAAAACATCCATTTTCTGTGATTATGTAACATTTGACCAGACAATTTCTGATTTGTTTGTTTGGTGCTTTAAGTACAGCCACTGTGTTATGCTGACAGCTGTACAAAATGAAAGAGAAACTTGCACTTTAACCCGTAGTATTGAGATTGTGAACAGCTACAAATGCAGCATTTGCATCTTCCATGCCATCCCAAGTTGAATTCAGAACCACCTAAACCCAAAGCAGCAGCTAGTTTAAAAAAAGAAAACATAAGTCAAATGATAAAGCTACATAGTTTAGTACATTAAAACAAAACCAAGGACAATGGTATTTGTATAAGTTTCCAAAAATATACAGATGGGAAGGGGAATAATCACTGTACACAACTCTGAGGTGGTTAAAGTGACCAGAGAGACTGAACAGTGCAAGACATGCTTTTCCAGTTACAAGCTCAAAACAGAAGTGCAAAAGAAATTAAAGCTTTGTCTGAAGTTATTTACCTTTTAGGATAAGGAAAGCTTAGAATATTGTCATCAGTGTTACAGAGAAATTTCCACCTCAACCCCAACACAGACACACAAAATAGTTTCAGTTTTCCCACAAAACAGCATTTCACTCAAATGTTGTCCCCCAAGCTTGGTGAGTGTAGGGACAATTTGTCTGATCCGTGTTAGACGTTGGCCTGTGAACCAAGTGAAGGCCTCTTCTCAGCTCTCCAGCTTTGGCCAACAATACCTGCCTTACAGGCAGGGTTCAAACTCTCCTGCCACTCACCTCCTAACACCACCTCACTGTAAAACAGCAGCTGTGCTGAAAGCAGATGCTAAGTTATGGCTGAGGAACAAAGAAATTGCTTTACAGGTCTCTGTGCTCTCTCCCAGAGTCTGGAACAATTTCAGGCAAGTGCTTTTGGCAGGTTGACTAAGCTGTACATGCATCTATCCATGCAAATGTAAAATATGGCTCCCAAGACCTAGAACCAGAGTGTGTGCATGTGAAGACTGGATAGAAGGCCCTTCCTTGTAAGTTTACAAAAATATATAGCCAATACTGTAGCTTAAGAAGTCAGTTTTACTCGTTACAGAGAACCCCAAAAAGTATTAACTACTTT